CTCCTACTCCTACTACTACTACTACTACTACTACCACTACTACTACTGCTACTACTACCACCACCATCACCACCACCACCACCACCACCACTACTACTACTACTACAACTACTACTACCACCACTACCACTACCACTACCACTACCACTACTAGTACCACTACTACTACTTCTACTACTACTTCTACTTCTACTACTACTACTACTACTACTTCTTCTACTACTACTACTACTATTAGTACTACTACTTCTACTACTACTACTTCCTCTGCCACTACCACTACCACTACCACTATCACTACTACTACTACTACTACTACTACTACTACTGCTACTGCTACTGCTACTGCTACTGCTACTACTAGGTGCCCCCGCTCCTACCAACCACCTCTCCTAAACACTGTTTAAGAGCACATCGAAATAAATCCGGTATTTACAGTACTTTCGTGATGTCGTAGTCCAAAACCAACCACTGCTGTTGAGGAATGGAGGGCGGGGTGAGGGGGGGGGGGCAATGGAGACGTACTTTTCAGGAGCACATCCGTTTTACTTAGTCCAACGACGATGATGATGATGATGATGATGATGATGGGTTTAGGCGCCAGGTGGTTGGTGAAGGGGGGCAGTAGTAGTAGTAGTAGTAGTAGTAGTAGTAAAACTCACTGCGATGGCCGAAGCTTCCCGCAATCCTCATGCTTGAATTAAAGGTCCCATCTCCAAGCCTAGAAACCTAAACAAGAAGCTCTATCGTCAGACTTTGCGGTTGCCGATGCCAAAGCAGCGTTGATGCCTGCAGCTCGCATCCCGCTTCAACTGTAACCCCAGGAGCCCTTGCATCCCCAAACACCCTGAAGCAGAAGCACCTTTAATATTCAGCTGTGGTGCACGGTCGAAGTCTAAACGGCCTGGCAGACCTTCTACGGCTGCCCGCTCATCTGCAACGAGCTCACCGAGAAGACGTGTTTGGAGCCCAGCTGGCTTTCTTCTGAAACCGAGGGAGGAATGTGGATTTGGGTACCCCATTAGTTGTCGATCCGATTGTCTAAGTTGTGTTTTGGTATCCGTCCATAACGAGATGTTCTGTGAAGCACGACTCTGAGTAAGACGTTTCGCGCAAGACGGAAGCACCGCCTTGAAGCTCCGAATCCGAACACACTGCTTTCCTTCAAGCCATCGCAGCATGCTAAGGACCTCAATCTTTCTCAAAAGCCCGAATCACTATCTCAAAGCTCTGCCGCGGCATTCTCAGGCTTTCCCATCTCATTCACGCCGGAGGGTGGCCTTGTCTGCAGAAGATGGAAGTTGATCACTCGGTGTAGCTCATGTAAGGATCCACTGAACAGGCAACCCTTCTCGTTAGGTTCCTAGAAGGATCCACCGATTTGCTGAAGTTCCGTGCTTGTAGGATTAACGGCCTGGCGTTTTCATGGCAACACTCTGCAGCTTAAGAGCCGAACCCTGCGACGGACCGTAATTTTACCGATTGGTTTAGGCTTCAGGATAGGAGAGGGTTCAGAATTATGAAGTCTGCGATCAGTGGCTGAAATCTCTGATTCCAAACTGCTCACGGCCCGAGTCAAGGATTCAGTTGGGCGTGTACCTAGCACGGATCTATCAACAGACTGGTAGTTTCAATGCCAGCGCCCAAAACTGCAGAAGACGCACTGCCAAGACATGTTCGGTTTCGGTCCTCTGGCCCTGGCCAAGGGATCCCCAATAAAAAGCCGAAATTGTTCCGCTGGTCTGAGGCGAATTTGACTGGGACGCTCCGGCGACTGAGAGCTGCCAGAACATCACCAGGCCAGAAAAGAAACACACACTGAGCTCATTCTCTTCTTTGGTACCTAGATGGCAGTTTTGTATTCGAACCGTTCCTCCCTGGGGGAGAGAGGAGAGAGAGACAGGGAAAAGACTGGAAGCAGCAAGGCAACATCTGCAAAAAGCCTCCTTAAACCCTATGAAAGCCTTTTGGGAGCACTTCCGAGAAGGCTTCCTAAAGCCCTTTCCCTTTAAATACCGACCCCCAAAGAGGGTTTTCGTTCATCGACTTTTGGGTTCATTCAGGTCGTGCCCCTGCGGCGCCAACGCGAAGATGTGCCGGTGGACGGAGACTTTCCTTCAGAGTTGGCAAGGGCAGATGACGCATATGCGAAGCTCAGGTTACACAGGGGATCTCCGTTTCTTGGCTTGGGAATCCAATTTCCGAAGACGGCTGAATTAGGTCTACTGGGGTGCATACAGTCTGCAAACCCCCGTCATGCTAGTTCAAGAGTCTCATGCAGTGTCTATATTGATCCGAAGCCTTTGTCGCTGCCCGTCATGTTGCACAAAGACCCGCCTGGTAGCATTTTCCTGCATCTCACACACACCGCTATGCACACACAACAGCAGCCATGAAGCAAACACAAACGCGAACGCGCCGCCCCGGACCCGAAAGCCCTTGACACCAAAGCCCCCGTTTCAGCTGTTCGCCTGAGGACGACTTCGGGCCGGGTACCCAGCGCCGCCATCGTTTCAAGTTAGTAACAGTCCTTTACAAGGGGGGTATTTGGAGGGGGGTTGTTTGTGGTTTTGCATGGGGTCTTGGGTGTAACAGACACGTTAAAGGAGCGGCCCTGTGTTGCAAATCTTGTTACCATCCTGACAATCCATACTTGCAGAATACTGACGGGATACCATCGAAACCCGAAAATGGTGCTAAGATCCTTGTTTTGGAGCCGTCGATACAGTTTCATGGTTCATCCCTGCGTGATGGTGTCGAAGCCCTCGTTTCTCCAAGTTACTAGGCTGTAGGCTTTTCCATTCATGCCCTAAAGCGAACGAGTTTTCAGAACTACGAGTTTTCCGTGTTCGTTGCAAAACGCTGCAATTCCGTTCAAGCCTCTGCTTCTTATTTAAACTTTAATCGTTGCTATGGAGCTTGGTCACATACAGCTTCTCCATAGCAGACCCCTATTTCCTTTACAACTCCTTGTCAGCACTCGTATATTCAGTTTATTTGGGAGTTTGAGTACTTCCAAAATTCTTTAGAATGACTGCCTCAAACAAAAACTTGCAAATTACACGTTTGGTTTCACCTGGAGGGCAATATAAGTTGTTGCTTCTTAGGCTCATTAGCACAGTATAGTCCCGATGCTCTTGACAGTGTCTCTATACAGTTACCAAGCGATGGAACCTTTAATTCTTGTACCAGCATACTGGCACCATCTCGTAGAGCCCTCGTCTGGCTTATCCGGAGTGTGACAGCGTAAGGAGTCTGTAAGATGCACCATATGCTGCGTGTCCGTGCAATGAATTCACATCAGCCTTATCTCCTGCATGTTCTGTGAACCTTGTTATTCCATGTTATTCCCGTGCCCCGCAACATGTACGTCTGACCTGTTCACAACAACTGGAGCCCTGAAAGAAGCTATGTCTCAGACAGTCATTCCTCGTATTAGACGTATAAGTGGCCATACATGCAATACGGTTCCCAGAATTCACCTTGTTATCCATTATACATATATGCATGTGTGTTTTGTAAATATACATATTCATAAATACCCTATGCTCTTACCCAGGCAATTTGCTAGGATGTTCAAATTGTCATGATCCTTGCAACCTTGCTGATGCCAGTAACAAGCTACTATGCATCATGGCCTTCCAACGCTGGTATCGCTTGTAAAGCACAAGGTGTCACTCTCTCAGAGGAGTTCATAGTTCATCCCCATATGGAAATAACGTTGCAACAAGTCTGTCCATGTAACAAGTGACGAAACCTAACCAAGTTGCAAACTGTAAGATATCGTCTCTCCTTACAACGAGATAGTCTCTTAACTTTCTGTGTACCAACACCTACTCTAACCCCGATAGAAGCCAGGTCATATCCCACACTATGATTTTTTGGGTGAGTGACATGTAAGTGCTTATGTGTGCATAGATTGCTTTTTCTTTTGCGCAGCCCATGTACTGGAACGGTCAGACCACTATACACGATCCGGGAGCATAGCCTTTCCGATCGGGAATATTGGGAATGTGGAATATGCGAACTATGCTATTAAAGAAAGCACAACGGCAGTGCTCCAAGAAACCGAATAAAGGCCGGATACCTGGGACCATCTATTGTACAGACCGCTTGTTGCTAGCAGCTACTATCCACAGCCATTACAAAGCTGTTAGATGTGTGGCCAATTCCAGAAACATACTGCCTCGAACCCTAACCCCTAAACCCTGAAAGTAACCCTATGATCCCTTGAAGGGACCCTGACTCTTTTTTGCTTTGAGAAGCTCCCGAAAAGCATGTCCCAACAGTAGGCAATACGCAAGTTGAACGTCATTCAGCTGGAGGCCCTGAACGTTCTTATACCCTAAACGCTGAAACTTTGAGGTCTTAAAACCCTTAAACTTAAAGCCCCAAACTGTAATCCCCAGCATCAACGTCAAAAGCCAAAAAAGCAAGCCCCAAACTCCAGCTGTCTCGAAGGCTGGACAACGAAGAGTGCTTCCCGACAGCAGACAACTGCCCTGTGACTTGCACCGCCTCTCAGCAGATCTGCTGGCTCACGGCCCCTCGGACGATAAAACTCGAAACACCGAAGCCCCTAAACCCTGACACCCAAGCCCTTGAACCCTAACCCTCAAATCAGCAGACCCCGAAACCCTTATTGCTTGAACTCCGAGCCCTCGACCTTTCAGGAGGGTTGAGGACGCGGCTAACGTCGTGGCGTTTATAAAGGCGCGCTGATTGAAAAAATGCAAGAGGGTAGTCAGAAATGCTAAGATTCTGCTATAGTCTCTAACTGTATACAGTCCATAAACAAAGCCCAAGCCTTCTTAAGGCTGCTATGTTATGTGTTATGTTGGCTGACAATTCCGAGAAACGGAACTTGAACGACCCCAGTGGTGTTGTCTGCTGCGGCCATGTCGATAGATTTCGCAGGTTGTGCCCTTCGGGGTTGAGCAGTGCCTAAAACTCTGAGCACGGGCCGATGAGAGCTGCGATTTCTGGCTGAATCCGTATCTCCACCGAGGGGCCTCAGAACTCAGCACCTTTACAACCGCTTCCTGTCCTCGTTTTGTTGGGCCTCCAAACTCTCATGTTCCACCGCCATGATGCCTCGACTCGGTGACCTAAAGCTTAAAGCTCTCCCCACAAGCAAAACCAGCCCACTTGCTGGCTACTGGAATCCTCAAACTCAATCCAGGACTACGATGTCTTCGGTTGGCCCGCAGAGTTCCGGGAGGTTTGTGCTCCGGCTGTCGGAGAATGCCCCTGCGGCGACTGGCCCGCAAGTGGTCAAGGGGTCCTTTTGCTGTGGCCGTCAACTCCCTCCCAAGTGCTATTGCTGTCCGTGTATGCATTTTTGACCTCTATCTATCTATATATATATATAGCAGTTATGTACACCTTTTTGAAATCAAGACTTGAATCGCGCATCTTGACATGTAGTCTTATTTCACTGCCTTTAAGCACGCGGTAAGTAGTGTCTGGAAACTCAAAGCCTGACCGCCCCCCGGAAACCCCCATCCCAAAGAGACACAATACCCAAGAACAAGACAAAGTAAAGCAGAGACCTAAGTCCAAAAGAAGCCCGCAGAATTCAGGCAAACACTGCCTAAGTAACAGTGGAGTGCTCCACACTGATACTAACGGTGCCTTCACTGGGTGGATCTTCGAGAAAATCTGTCCTTGCCGAGGCAGCAACGCCCAGCCATGCAAGGACCAATTCGGAGCTGCTGGGCAGAAACCCCACTATGCGGGTGTCAAGAATTCCAACATTGTCTAAGGCTCCCGAACAGTGATAGTATAGTCAAGCCACAAAAAACCTGTCTGATTGCTGCTGCCCTCAAACCCTTCTTTGTTTCATGCTCTTGTTAAGGTTAAGTTCAGAGGCTTTCAGAACGTATAGTGTTTCCGGTACTTGACACTCTTGGGTTTCGTGGATTTTCCGCTCTGCCGCTAGGGCCGCCGCGAAGGGCAAAGAGTGGTGGCTCCGAAACTTCTGGAATTCTCAAATAGACCAGCTTGTTCTGACACGCATGTTAACGTTGCTGTGACTGTCTACACTCTGGCACTTCTGGGTTCAGCTTCTGGATCACGGTAGGGAAGTCTTGAAGCCAAGCAGAGGGAAGTCGTTTTTCTTAGTGCACTTCGTCATTCAGGGTTTTCGATCCACAACTTGGGCGCCTTCCCGCAGCCCCAACATGTGCCGTGGATAAACCGTGAGGATACGGTGATATGTTGAGCATGTCAGGATGTGCACTGCTACCCACTGGTGGACTACGAAACCAACGGTG